GACCCCCTCCCACCGAACAGATGAGGACCAGGGAAATAAGCGCTTGGACCCTAATAAGCATTGACCAGCCGACCCCCGACTACCTCGTAATTGCAACTGATAACAATGCATTGCGCGTGCTCCACTGATAATGTAGATAGAGCCCGGTATCTTTTTTTTAACTCAACCGAGGTATCAATGACTATCAGCTAAATAATAATACGTAATACAACGAGCGTCCATAAGACGCGGTTTGATCTTAGGCATAAGGTGATACGTCACTGATAACGATAATAATAACAATAATTGCCGAAACTGCAGATCCACTCGTATCGGCTTCAAAATGATCTTCAGATGCGATCTATCCGCTGATTCATGGATCGCGATCCATGGATCATCGTGATTGCCAATGTGCCTTCTCGATTCTATTGACTCTTTCTCGAACTTCCCTCTCTCTCTCTCTCTCTCTCTCTCTCTCTCTCTCTCTCTCTCTCTCTCTCTCTCTCTATGTATATGTATACTATACATAACGCCATCCTTTTCTCAATTGATTTGACTGTCGATTACCTCACGATCCATCCGACCGCTGCGCCTCTGTTAAAATCTGCCAATTATAATAAAAGTGAATTTTCTTGATGATTCGATGATAACGATTGCTATGATAACGCTGTTTATGTCTCTTATCGTGGTCACTCGTGCGAGCTAACAAACAAACATCTAACACCGAAGTTTCCAGCCGCTGGTGCGTTATGGATATACGCTGTGTGTATATGCATATACAAATATATACATATATATATATATATACATATACATATATGTATATTTTTTAAGAAGGGTAGTTCTCAGGACTATTTGTCTTGAGTATTGGCAGTTGTGAATATACTGTCAGAACCATAAAGCGGCACTCGCTTTCCGTTGCAAGTGCCACGCGCCCTCATAACTACCCTTTGACAAGTTTATATACATATGTATATCGTCAGTATACATATATCTGTATATGTGCATATAGTATATTTTATATATATATATATTGATAAAAATTAATTACGTATATAGATCGTATAATAACGTCGTTTTCTCGTTTAGTACGTATAAAAACACCGTACATTACGCTTGGCCCTTTTATACATTTTCGGGCGAATTTCTCGATCGAATTAATCGATTGATCGATTCAACTGACAGATTTCACTTAAATGTTCAACGGCTGACTAACACGTCATTGACCATTGCCGTATATAGTGTCCAGTGTGCGATAGACCCATTCTGAGCTCGCCCAGGCATCGTCTGTAAGTAAGTAATCGGGATCAATGAGATCGAACGATTCGCGTACGATATATCGCAATCGAAGAAAGATCGATCGATCGATCGTCGCTCGAGTCGGACGATCGTTAAAAATTATTATCAATAAATATAAAAAATTACGTTGAAGAATCCTCATATTTGCAAATACAGGAAGGACGTACTTTTTTTCCAACTTTTCTTTGGGTCTTATTTGCTCTCTTTCATTTTCTCTTCTTCGTCTTATTCTTCTTGTCTCTTTCGCCTTCACTCGCTCATTGTCTCTCTCTCTCTCCCTCTCTCTTTCTCTCTCTGTCTATCTCTTGATTAAATCCACACTGTCGCCTTGTCGATTTTGACAATTTTTACCAAAAAATTTCAGTCGGCTCGGATGAAGAGCGCAAGGGGCAAGAGGGGAAGGATATAGAAAGAGCAAGAGGGACGAGGAGGAGATAGTTGAGAATAACCGAAAAAAAAAAGAAATTTTTAATAAAAAAATTTTTTTACAATAAATCTCCCGATCGTGAGCGAGTGAACCATCGCCACGAGAGCAATGCCTGCCGAATAAATCACAAGGGTTGAAAGGTATAATGACGGTATAAGGAAACGAAAAAAAAAAAAAGTGAGTGCCACAAAATTATACTCAACCGAGTATAACAGGCCGCGAGGGTAGGATTCGTTACTGTCGAGCGGAGTTTACATAGCGGCGACAGTGAGCTCGATGACTGGGAATGACTAATAGCGAATTGCGCGTGATCTCTGTTTCAGTCTGAGCCCGAGCGTAGAGAGAAGCTCGCTAAATCGACCAAAAGGTACTTTGTGATTGGTTATGATGTTACGTATATATTATACATACATATATATCTCCTATATCTATCTATTGATACATATATGCATACGTTATGTAACCGTATACAATATATACAATACTGTATACATGAATACAATAAGTACAAAGAGAGAAGACGGGACCGTGCGTTCGCCTGCGCGTCGGGTTACGAAATCAGCCATTAAGACTAAGTAACACAGTCAAAGACAACCGTTCACCATCGTCATCAACGCCATCTACCTTTTCTTGATCCGAACCAAGAAGCCCGCAGCAAGCGAGCGCACGACCCGAAGTGTGAGACCGAGATATTAAATAATTTTAATAACAATAACAACAATCAGAATAAAAGCAAGGTATCTCGGTACCATGCTTCGAATCACTTCGATCGGTCCATCGCGTCACATAATCCGTCACCTCCCTTAATCTCACTTCGATCCCATCTTCTCTCTCGTCTCTCGAAACGATTTGAATTTCCCGCGTAAATTCGAGAATTCACTTTTAACGATGCTTTCATGAATTTCGATATATGCCCTCTTACGATACGTATTTAAACGAGAGTTGTCAAGGGACGAGAGCAACCACCCATTCCGCCCCCCCCTCCTCCTCCTCTTATCATCATACTCAATGACTGTGATAGTACACCTAGTGGATTTAAAAAAAAAAAAGAAAGTACACGGTGTCTCGCTCTTTGACCCGTGCACCCGCGATGCCTTCTCTAACACGGTAGTTGCTGCATTTCTCTTGAATTCACATCACCTTCGCATTATTATGACGTACTATATACTATACTATACTATACTATACTATACTATACTATATCGTAGCGGATGCTTGTCATGTTGTTACGTCCCAAACCAGTGTAATCACAATTTCGCATATTTACATATATATATATAACTGTATTTGTTTCCTTTTCTCTCTCTCTCTCTCTCTCTCTCTCTCTCTCTGTCTGTCTCTTTTTCTCTCCCACTATCACACTGTTTGACTCTCGTTCTGTCAGTGCCTACCCGTCTGCCCGTCTGCCCGTATTAGACAACGTACGCGGCTTCCCGCGAGTCCCTATCAGCAGCGATTCGCATCTCATTTCGCATGGTCTCGCCGTTAGCCGTTAGACGTCAGCCGTACGCCGTGACACGCACACGCTCTCACCGCACCGTCAGCCGTCAGCCGTCAGCCGAGAGTCGCCGGTGTTCCTTGTCTAGTCGCGTCCCTCGGGAGTACGTGTACACTGCCTGCTCCCTCGGCAGGTATAACAGAGGAGCGTTAAAGCCAACCAGCATCGACGCCGACGTCTGACTGTGAAACGGTAAAGCTCCGTGGCAGGAGGGCCAAAAAACAAATCACGAAACTTATCCTTGTTATACGTCGATGTTGCATCTCTGTGCTCTTATTAGCCGCCTGCAGCTCTATGTGTGTATACAAGAAAAAAAAAAAAAAAAAAAAAAAAAAAACCATTTTGGCGCAAAACACATATATATATGTATATATATACACTCTTTACCGTATCCCCGTATGACCTTAAGGGACCGGTGACCCTATATGCGATTTCCGTCACACCGCGCACGTCATCCCAATCTACTGTGTGTTCCTTATCGTAATTTCTCGCTCTTTTTCTCTGTGTCTTTAATTATTCATACTTTTTTACGTATCTTTTCATCTGCCTAGCCGTACCCATGTAACACGCCTGTTATACGTCGTATCTCTTGATATATCCACAGTAGACTCTACCTCTTTACAAAACATATGTGTGTTTACACGGCCAAGCTGTCGCGATGTCAATATGCCAAAAGTTCAAGAGACCCTCGTTCCCGGAAGAGTGCACGAAACGAATGTGCACGTGCGGAACGAAGGAACCGGACCGCCGCCACTAAGGCAGTTCGAACTAAGCGCGACCGGGGATTCCCCGGGTTAGCGCGCGCTACCAGGACCCCGACAAGGAACGAAACGATTGGCAAGGTATTGGACGGACAGTTACGTGGACGCCAGTTCTCGAGAGCTGGTGTACGCTCGTTCCAATTTTCTCTCTTTCTCTCTCTTTGTTAATCATTCTCCTCTATCTTCCTCTCTCTCTCTCTCTCCCTCTCTCTTACTCCATTACTCTCTAAACACGCCAGAACTGCTCAAAACTTCGCCAGTCCCCGCGAACCTTCGTGACTGTCCGTTCAGCGATCCTTTCAATCCTTCAGGTTCATTCACACGTATGCGTCCGTCTATCTGTCTGTCTGTTATCTTGCCACCCCTCCCCCCACTCACTTATCATCACAACCCTTATCATTCGTTCACGTACTTTACTATTTATTATCTCAAAGAAAAAAAAAAAAAAAGCACAGCTTCGACTCAGGCCGAAACGACAGTCGCAAATCGCAATTACCGATCGCGGATCAATCGAGACTGACGATCGACGACTGCTACTGGAATTGCCTGATCCTTACGACGATCAATAACTTGTTCGGACGACTAGATATTTTGAAAAAAAAAAAAAAAAAAAAAAAAAAAATT